GCACTTGGAAAAAACACCGCGCTCTAAACAACAATTTATTAAGTGCAAAATGTATATTCCTACAGCAGGTAGACACAATTTAATCATCTCAATGGTAATGCCATCAATTACACTAGAATTGGACTTGATACTGCGAATAGTATCCAATACTGTAGATATATCGACAAGACGGAACTGAAAATGAAAATCTTGGTTTAATTTGTTATGGCTATAAAATTCGATAGTTTCCGAGCAATCATCGTCACTTTTCTGGAATATACTGGTAAAATAGTTATTTATTTCATTGGGAACTGCTAAGTCATCCGGAATGTCAGTATCACTAGAATCCTGAATTCTAAATGACTTAAGAGCTTTATAAAGAGCTGCAGAGTTTCTTTGTCGAGATAGATGTTGAAGGTAGCCTGATTTCTCTGCACGTGCAGCAGTTTTGGTAAAATTTCTCAGTTCATTGTAATGATTTCGATTCGCACCCGTTCAAGACCGTCTATATTTATGAAAAGCCTTATCTCGTTCTTTCATTATCATTTTCAAATTGTTTGTGAGCCATGGTGCACGAGGCTTAGACACTCTCACTGTTTTTAGTGGTGCATGTATGTCAAAAAGTCCTACAATATTATCGGAAATAAATTTTACTTTCTCATCGATATTAGCCATATAAATAACTTCACCCCAATTAACGCTAAATAAGTCATCGTTAAAAGAGGTTAGATCAAAATTGCGATAGTCTCTAAATGTAATTAGTCTAGGTGGTGGTTTATTGTTTTTACTCGAAATGTGACAGAATACAGCCTGATGGTCACTAAAGTTAACAGTGAAAGTTCCCACTTTGGAACATCTTTGTGCACAGTTGAAGAAAACCGGATCTAAAAGCGTTGAAGAATGATCAGTTATTCGAGTTGGTTCATTCAATAACTAACTGGTGCAGGCTGTAAGATTGAAAGCACTGATTAATTCTACTTCTCAAATTATCAAAATGGCTTTTAAAAACAGCACAACAGCTAGAGTAAGACGCGTGATCAGTTGGTAGACCTTTCTTACTGGTTTTGTTAACATTAAGACAATTTATGCATTGGAAAACAGATGATTTACAATCTTTAGCTTTATGATTTTGGGAGAATTTTGGACATACAACATTAGATTTGCAGCTTATATCGGTATGACCATAACCACAACACTTAAAACACTTCAACACACGTATATGATCACTTACAGGCGATTTCTTCCATCCGACGAACAGGAAACTTTTCTATAACAAGATATTCCTAAGGTCAGGAGATACTTCTATGACGATATTTGTGGTCTCGTAATGCTTAAGTTTGGTAACGTTGATGTTTATTTAACTATAATGTTGGACGATGATATTCTGGGTGGACCTAGCGAGGTGGTCCAAATCGACTATTCGAAGTTGGTTTTTTTTATAAGCCATGACCGCTGGTGCCTTTTGTATTTTGTCACGCGAGCCGTTGCTGCATTTTCCACTGTTTAGACACAGACTGTTCTAGTTCTAGTTTTCGGTAAATATTGGGTCAACTTCTCATAAAACAAGCCATTTACAATAAATTAAGACTTTTATTTTGCAAATAACCTCATTTTTTATCACGTATTTCTCCCAACAAAGGTCCAACTTGGCAACTATGGACATCATTTACCTTATCTGTCAAGAAATGAACGTTACAAATGGCCATTCAACTTGTTTGTACTTTCAAATATTTCTTATAAACGCAAAAACTTCTCAAAATCTCTTTGAAAATATGCGAAAAAAATCGTTAAGGAATTTCAAGAAGTTTTTGAAAAATCACCACACAACACCTCTACACAGTTTACCAAGTAAATACCATCATTTACGTATGTATTTTGAACTGTTATTTTAGCTAATACGCTAATGTATAGTCAACGCCAAACAAAGTGGCGTGCACGTCATCACGATAAAAATTCCCCGACCTAATGCCTAGGTTTCTATCACAAACAATTGCTCTATTGCAGTTTCATATTAATGTGATATATAAATTGTAAAATGGTCATTACTCTCTTATTATGGTTAATAGTCATATAAACATTGTTATTAAAATATCACATAAGTTGCTTTCTGATAAATTTAGACGCATTATGCGAAATAAAATGTTTTGCAAACGCTCCAATCACTTATCGACATGTAAACGCACTAAACCGATTTCGCAGCGTTGACACATTGTCACCTTGAAACTTATTTAAACTGGGAACTGACATTTGTATTAATTTTGACACTGAATCAATTTGTGGCATTTCAAATCTTTATAAATCCTTTGGCCCCGCATACTGTAAATCAACAACTGTTTGTTTCAAAACAAAATTATTCATTTTACGAGTAGATAAAGGCAATTTTGGTATATAAAGATGCCCAAACAGTTAAATAGTCGGTGTAAGGAACTCGTGGCCTCGTTAATGCACTACTTTGAGCAAGAAAGGGACAACAACGGGCCTTTGTTGCCTTTAAATGCTGTTCAAGAGGTAGGTTACTAATAATTATATGTAATGTATATTAATAATAGTGAAATTTTATTTCATTTTTTGTAGCATGTTGCTGCTGCTTTAAAAATTAGTTTAAGGACAGTTAGTCGTATTTCCGAGGGTGTGAAAAGTGATGCAAATTTAGAATCGCCCAAGAAAAAGCGGAGTTATATTAAACGTGTAACCAACACAGCGACATTGGATACAAGTGCCATTCGAGAAGTGATCTATAATATGTATCACAAAAGTAAGATCTTATTCTAATAACTTATCAGAAATTTGCATTAATTTGTTAACTAAATTATAATGTCATATTACACATGGTTTCAGAAGAACAAGTTACGATACAAACTTTATGGTCTCGATTAAGAGATAGGGCATTATTTGATGGTAGTGCCACGTCTTTAAGGCGGTTGCTTAGAGATCTTGGATTTAAGTGGCTTAAGGACAATCCGCGACGAGGGCTCATGGAACTACCAAGTATAGCTTTGAAAAGGGTGGAATTTCTAAGGCAATACAATCAAGCCAAGGTTGAGGCCTTATACCAGTTTGTCTTCCTCGATGAAACTTGGATATTTCAAAATGGGACCATAGGTCGCTCTTGGCAAAATGGAAACCAAAAAAGCGTGAAAGCTATTAAAACAGATGGTAAAAGGTATGTACTTTTACACAATTTGCACTATAAAATTTAAAACTAATATATTTTAGATACATTATATTACATGCTGGAAATGAAAATGGGTTTATTGAGGGTAGTGAAGCGATATTTTCTTCGAAAACAAAATTGAGCGATTACCATGGAGAGATGAACCAGGACAATTTTTTGAAATGGTATCAACATCAGTTATTAGAAAAATTGGAGAGTCCATCTATGATTATACTGGATAACGCCCCTTATCACAGCATGATATTGAACAAAGTGCCCAACAATGCATGGACAAAAAAAATATCCAAGACTGGTTGACAAATCAAAACATACCATTTTTAAACACAATGTTTAAAACAGAGCTATTGAGTATTGTTGCTCGGTACATAATGCTTCTTAATTATATATATTTTGGTCGACAGTTTATATTTCTTTTGTTGATTCCTATTCTTAAAATAACTGCTTTTTTAGAAACAAACCACCTAAAATATACGTGATTGATGAATTGGCGGAACAACATGGGCACAAAGTTCTTCGTCTGCCTCCTTACCATTGTATATTTAACCCTATTGAGTTAATTTGGGGCATAGCAAAAGGTTACTATAACAGACATATTGGTAGAGATGGTAACAGTGAAAAAGACTGTTTGGATATGTGGAACGAGGCTCTACAAACGGTTACCCCAGACATGTGGAAAAATAGTGTTCGACATACTGAGCAAGAAATTTTTAAATGGTATGAAAGAGAACGAATTTTTGATCGACCAGACATCGAACCTTTAATAATCAACTTTGAGAGTGATGAAGATTCAGATTCAGACAGCGCTGAAGAAAGAAACTCCGACTAACTTTATTGTACAGAAAAAGCTTACACCAGTAGCTTACCTAATTTTAGAATGCATTTTTCTGTATGAATTCTGTAAAATAAATACCATGCATAAAATTTGGAGGACCCCATTTGGATTTTTATTCAGTACCTTTAAGCTATCAATTAAATATGGTAGTTTCATAGTGTCATCTGATCAATAATTGTCATACTTAATGATTATGCAAGTACAGATCTATAATTTTATTATACTATTATTTTTGTTCTCATTTGAGGTTAATATTGCTTATAAACCTAGATATGTAAATAATAAATTTTATTATTTTACAAAAAGTTTGGCAACAATGTAAATTTTTCAACACACCCACCTTGATGACGTGCACGCCACTTTGTTTGGCGTTGACTATATAATTACACGGCTGGTTTTGAACCTTTTTTTACAAAAAACAACGATTTTTTACAGTTTCACATCTGTTTTCCCTAGTACTATACAGCGTCTGTTATTCTTCTTATAATTATATATTATTGCAAAAAGCAAAAAAAATCGTATAAAACAGTATTCCATTCTAGAGTATTACCACCAAAAATGCAACTTTGAAGTTCTATGAAATAGTAAGCAGAGGGTTCCGTAAAGAAAAAATCATGAAGTATTTGCGATATGCGCTAAAGTATAGTCTTACCAAGAAAATATGTAATTATGCTAACACATAAGCATAATATGTTGGGCTGTGAATGAAGCGATTTAAACCAATTTTCAGTATAAATATACATTTTTAATTGAAATCATCTATCTATTAGTGTGTACGTTTTACATTTTACATTTTTGAACTGTTTTTTAATAGCCCCTACTAAGTAGCTAGTTGATTTCATCGAATCATAAACATAACTATTAAAAACCTAAAATCTGTGAATTTCGTAGCCATCCGTACCTCAATCGCTTATTCATAGACCACAATGTATGTATCAGCAGTTTTTAAAATTGTTCTCTTAAGTGATAAAAATTCGATAAAACCCGAGGTCTCTCCCAGAACATTTAACTTACCTGATTTTTGGCAGCATCCCCTATCAATCTCTCCGAATCAGTAAAAGCCACATAACTAGGGGTGGTTCGATTCCCCTGATCGTTCGCAATGATCTCGACCTTACCACCCTGCCATACGCCCACGCACGAGTACGTGGTGCCCAGGTCAATGCCCACCGCTGCAGTTTTCACCATTTTTCACGCGCGACAAGATGAGTTTCCCTTAAAATTCGATTTCAAAAGCGTTCTGTTAGAACCGCGCACTTCACTTGGGGATTTTGAGCTGTCAGAAGTGCCAAAGTGACTGTGCGCCTGCCGCCAAACAGCGAGCGAGCTTTGCGGGAAAGGCGGGCATGATCGGCCGGCGTCGCGGAAAACAGGTGGGAATCGCGCCGTTCGAAAATGTAGGGGAGAGTGGGGTAAAAAAATTCACAGGATCATTTTACTTAGTCGATAAAGCAGGGTGAAAAAAATTCAGCAGTTATCTGAAAGCGCTGAGTGTGGGGGGGGGGTATAACCCAAAATTCAGTACTTTGCTTGTATCATTTTCGAATGAAATTTCATAAATAAACGGTAAACTAGAGACTTTAGAGCGCAAAAAGACCTTCAATTTTGATTTTTAAGAATTAAAATTGATAAACAATTAAGCTAAATACGGAACTTTTTAGTAATTCTGAATAAATGTTTATAATTATTGCAATAACAATTGTAAAAGAATCATTAGTGTTAATAAATGTGCTAAATTTCAGCCGGGTGGGTTTAATACTCTATGTAAAAAGCTAATTGTTGATGTGATTCTAGAGCATTTTATAAAAGTGAAATGGATTCTTGAATGTACGCAAAAGATTAATTTTTTTTTTCAAAATTGTTGTTAAAAATGATGTGAAAGGAATAGTCATTTTTATATACTAAGTGACATATAAATCCGAACACCCAGTTTAAATGGTTTTATTTTAATAAAATTTTGTATAAGTACTTAATGAAGCATAATAAGTAAATGATAAAAATTTCAAAATGATGCACTGCTTTAAAGCCCTTTGACCTTTAATAATGTGTGGATGCACCCTGATGTGCTACGCATTCTCCAACGCGCCTAGGCATGCTTCTGATCAGGTGGTCAATGTCCTCCTGTGGTATCTCATTCCAGGCAACCACCAACTCCTCTAGAGTCTGAGGAGGACGTTGCAAATTGAGCAATCTCCTACCCATCATATCCCACACGTGCTCAATTGGGGATAACTCGGGAGATCTTGGTGGCCATGGTAACAATGTGACATCATTACGTTGAAAGAAGTCTATTGTGACTCTTGCAACATGTGGTCGGGCATTATCTTGTTGGAAAGTTGGATCTGCCAGGGTGTCAAGATAGGGTAAAAGATGGGGGTTCTAGAACTTCGTGGATACAACGCTGCGCGTTCATGTTACCTCTGATGAAGATTAAAGGTGACCTGGAACCATAAGCTATAGCACCCCAAAACATAACTCCAACAGTGTGATGAACATGTCTTTCAACAAAAAACTGTAGATTCCTCCTTTCACCACGACGCCTTCTAACCCTGGTACGACCATCGTGCATGCCTAAACAAAATCGAGACTCGTCACTAAAGACAATACTATTCCATTCCTGATCCCAGAGTGACCGTTGTCTGCACCACTCAAGGCGATTACGTCGGTGTTCTCGAGTTAAAGGGAGGACCCAGTGTGGCCGGTATGAAAACAAGCCAAAACTTCTTATTCGTCGGTAAACACTTCGCATGCCAATAGGTCTTCCGTGTTCTGCAAACCATTCATTTGCAATGGACCTGGTAGTGGAGAAACGGTCCCTTAAGGCCAATAATCTTAGACGGCGATCTTCACGGTCTGTTGTTCTACGGCGGCGTCCAGTGCCCCTTGCTCTTTGCGTACGGCCTTCTCGAAGCCATGCCTGACAACACCTAACCACAGTGTCTACACTTCTTTGCACTCTAACTGCAATTGCCCTAAAAGAAAGTCCAGCTTCCCGAAGTCCCACTATACGGCCCCTATCAAACTCACTAAGTTGACGAAATCGTACAGGTCTCCGTACTCTAGGCATCGTACCCGGTCGTAAAGGATGTCAAGAACCAAAATCCGCCAACGTTGCTTCTTTACTGCGGCTGAAATATTCATTTTTTGAGCGTTAGTGAATTAAAAAAAAGCAGTATAAAAACCGGAATGTCCAACTGATAAGGCTGAACATTTTTTCACTTGTTATTTACAGTAAGATAAATACATTCACCAACTTTTATTAAAATAAAACCATTTAAACTGGGTGTTCGGATTTATATGTCACATTTAAAATAACTTCTTTATTTTTCTATATAATGTATTTTAACAAGTTGGGTGGTTGAAAAACACATATTTAAAAACCTTCTACGGGTTTAATACCAGACGATACTATCAAACAAATTTCTGCAACTGCACTACTGGTTGCCGAACGGGTAGGCGTAGTTACAAAAAACATGGGTTAAATTGCACACCGTTGTGCATAAATTGTGATGATGGAACAACACCCTTGCCGTAATTGGAATTGACGATGTGCATACTGAGAAAACCGATGACTTATTTGAAGAAATGAGCTACACAATACTGAAGAAGAAGTAGAGCATCCAACTGAATGATTTAGAACGGAGGATCAAATTTAATTAAATAATAAAATATTATGATAAAAAATACATTATATAATATCATTATTACACAAAGAATACAAATTAACTAAATATAAATGAGATACAAACGTAAATCAATGTTTTTTACAATTTATTAGAGTGTATTTTGTTAAGAGTATACCAATTAACTGAATTATGAATTGTTCAAACAATTTTATTATAAAATATATATTATTGTGACGATAATAAATAGTACTGTTGGCGCCATCTGTTGGGAGACTCTCCTTCTCGCCAGAGCTTCATGGTCGATCTCTGCTTTTAAGCGGACCACAACCGCACAAACCGCTTGGCGACATCTGTTGAGGACCATGTCAGTGATTCGCCTTCTATATCGACGCGAAGTGACCTCGAAGATGCCGCTTTGTATCTCTCCAGACCTTTCTCCAAGCAGCGATGGGGACTATATATAACTCGTCGGCCGGGAGATGGAGGCAGAGTACAGAGTACAGTAGAATAGAGCAGAGTGGAGTATAGTGCAGTCAATGGCGCGACATAAGAATTAGTTAGACATAAATGGTGGTGTACATAAATGTTGTATCTAGTCAAGTAAAATAAATTAGTGCATTTTTTTGTGGAATCCAGTGTTTTATTCCACAACCAAAAAAACCCATAAAAACGCTACATTATTTTATTAGAGTGAGAGTGAAAGTAAATGATTTATTGTTAATTTATTATTTCATAGGAATTTAATTTTGAAGAATACAACGTGTCAAGTTTTCCGGGATTTCCCGATTTTCCAGAAAAATGAAAATGTACCAGATGTAATTATTTCGACGAGTTACCCAAAAACTTATGATTTAGCTTGCTTCGATACTTCTGTAAATGATTACGTGTCTGTTTTTATACCTACACATATATTTTCCGAATTTTATGATCCTTAAATGTACCACCCAATTCGCGTAACCTTTAATTTTTTATTCTGCCTATGATAGTTCTCTGAATATTTGGTCAAGTAGATTGCTTTTGATATATTCATATACAACAGACACGGACTGCCAAACCCACATAAATGAGAAAGAGTTTAATATTTCCATCGTTTAAGTAGTCGTAGATTTTGAAAATCTCGAAGTATCATGAAGTATACAAAGTGACATATAAATCCGAACACCCAGTTTAAATGGTTTTATTTTAATAAAATTTTGTATAAGTACTTAATGAAGCATAATAAGTAAATGATAAAAATTTCAAAATGATTGCACTGCTTTAAAGCCCTTTGACCTTTAATAATGTGTGGATGCACCCTGATGTGCTACGCATTCTCCAACGCGCCTAGGCATGCTTCTGATCAGGTGGTCAATCTCCTCCTGTGGTATATCATTCCAGGCAACCACCAACTTCTCTCGAAGTGCTTCTAGAGGAGGACGTTGCAAATTGAGCAATCTCCTACCCATCATATCCCACACGTGCTCAATTGGGGATAAGTCGGGAGATCTTGGTGGCCATGGTAACAATGTGACATCATTATGTTGAAAGAAGTCTATTGTGACTCTTGCAACATGTGGTCGGGCATTATCTTGTTGGAAAGTTGGATCTGCCAGGGTGTCAAGATAGGGTAAAAGATGGGGTTCTAGAACTTCGTGGATATAACGCTGCGCGTTCATGTTACCTCTGATGAAGATTAAAGGTGACCTGGAACCATAAGCTATAGCACCCCAAACCATAACTCCAACAGTGTGGTGAACATGTCTTTCAACAAAAAACTGTGGTTTCCACCTTTCACCACGTCGCCTTCTGACCCTGGCACGACCATCGTGCATGCCTAAACAAAATCGTGACTCGTCACTAAAGACAATACTGTTCCATTCCTGATCCCAGAGTGACCGTTGTCTGCACCACTCAAGGCGATTACGTCGGTGTTCTCGAGTTAAAGGGAGGACCCAGTGTGGCCGGTATGAAAACAAGCCAAAACTTCTCATTCGTCGGTAAACACTTCGCATGCCAATAGGTCTTCCGTGTTCTGCAAACCATTCATTTGCAATGGACCTGGTAGTGGAGAAACGGTCCCTTAAGGCCAATAATCTTAGGCGGCGATCTTCACGGTCTGTTGTTCTACGGCGGCGTCCAGTGCCCCTTGCTCTTTGCGTACGGCCTTCTCGAAGCCATGCCTGACAACACCTAACCACAGTGTCTACACTTCTTTGCACTCTAACTGCAATTGCCCGAAAAGAAAGTCCAGCTTCCCGAAGTCCCACTATACGGCCCCTATCAAACTAACTAAGTTGACGAAATCGTAAACAGTAAGATAAATACATTCACCAAGTTTTATTAAAATAAAACCATTTAAACTGGGTGTTCGGATTTATATATCACTTAGTATATAAAGGGATTGACGACATCTTGTCGGTCCGAGGATCCACTATGATTAGCGAGTAGAGTTTGGACCAAATCATGTCCTAGGTGATTTTAAATCCGACAAGCCGAATCAAGGCTTTTGTCGCTGCCAGCTGAATCGTAGATATCGGTCTGGCACTCTTAATACCTGCACGATAAGTGCTGTCGCCCGAAGACTGCAATTTTGTATTTGACTCCTCCGCTATATTGTATAGCACAATAAAGAAATAATTGATCAATCGTTCATAAAAGGAAGACACTTTGTGAACAAACGAATACAATTTTTGTTTTATAACATTCGTTCCTAATAAAGATTCAAAGTTGTACTTTTAAAATAGAACCACTCTGAATGTTGATAAATAATTACAAAGCGAATCACTG